TCACTTCAAACACAATGTCCACCTCCACATCATAACACCTTTCACACACACCCTTAACCTCCAAAATATTCGAAGGAACTCCCTTTCCTTCAACTTGGAGAGGAAGGTCATAGGTTTCAACTAAGTAAACAAGGCTATCACTTGTCGGCCATTCTGTCTCATACCCCATCACTTCAAACACAATGTCCACCTCCACATCATAACACCTTTCACACACACCCTTAACCTCCAAAATATTCGAAGGAACTCCCTTTCCTTCAACTCCCTCTTCACCTCCCACCTCTTCCATCGTCTTTTCTGACCCAAACAACACAGTTCTTATGCTAACTTCCTCCACCATCTTAACTTCCTCACTCCCCCCAATAGTCAATGTTTCCTCTAATGACATATCTTCTGTTTCGTAGCTTTCACTGCACGGAGTAAGAGGTGGGATGTAATCAGGATCTTTAATAAACTCTAATTCATGCTCTATGTCACTCTCACTCCTAGACCTAACCTCTTTCAGAGGACTTAGATCTAAATCAAAGAGGGTGAAAGGAGAATCAAACTCTTTACTAGAATCAGAATCACCAAAGAACATTAAATTACCTGATCTCGATGGTGCAGAACGTAGTTGTATTTCCAAACACTCTATGCAGAAGTCCGGTCATACTAACTCTATTAAAATTTTAGCAGAATTTCAATAGCAAATACGGCAAAGGTGATAAAAATTTACATAAATATGAGTATATATACCAGTACGAATTGCATTTTAATGGTTATGATAAATTTTATCCAATGATCATAATCACATCGATTCGAATTCGATGGTTAACTCCTAATGGGACTCTTTCAAATTTGACGATTCGTTTTCGATTGCATCTGTTGAGGTATTTTAGTTACTTTTTACAACCCATATTTATTATACATGTCTTTTAAAAGATAGTTGTCATATCACGTACTAACTCCATGTCAGGCTTCTTCCACAGGCCTATGTAAGCACAGCCGAAACCCTTTTTGTTCATACAAATGTCTCTCATTATTACAAAGTATTTAACCTCAGTGACCATGAGTCAGTAATTTTACTTCGGCTATAGCCCTAGTGACCACGAGTCACCAATTATATTTCAGCTGCGGCCTCAGTGACCTCAAGTCACCAATTTTACCTCAGTTACTACCTCAGTGACCTCGAGTAACAAATTTTATGCCGATTTTGGCAATAGTGATCTCACATCACCAATTTTACTTCGATCATGACCATAATGCAATGATCACTATAGTCAAATCCTATACTATATAGATTTTTACTTACTTCTCTCATCATATTTCATTATGCACCTCCCCATGATTATACACAACCCTTGCCATCTCCAACTACATCATTCACAAGTGAATGACTTCGAGGGGGGAATAGTGTGAGGATAGGTCCGAGGTTAAGGACCTCGGACATACTGTTGCATTTCCTTAATGACCGAAATAACTTGTAAGTTCAGTTTTTCCTGGTCATATAGTTGCACAACAACTACAGTAGACATGTTTGCACCTAATCCTCTATCCCTGAGATCATTGCTTGAATGGACATGTCAAACTCTGATTATCTCATTAAGCAGGTCACGTGGATACCTCATTAAGGCCTATAAATATCTCTAGGGGTCACCTCAAAAAGATAATTTAAACCGACTTAAAACTCCTTTTTCCATAATTCTTAAAGGTAGACCAGACTATTGTTGACCTCAAGGATCCACATTGGGGTTTTGCATGTCATCCCAAAAAGAAGACTTGAACTAGAAGGAGTTACTTGGTTTGTTGCAATTACACCTCTTCACTTTAGGGTATCTCATAAATCATCTCTCTCGCTTATGCACTTGAGTATCAAGATCTCCATATCTTCATCCAGTTGTTACTTAACTCTTAACACAACATGAACGGCCCGTTCTGATCCAGTGGTATTGGATCCTAGGTTAGGACTGTTCACCTCTTGTGGCTTGTATGTTTGAGTCAAAGGAATCTCTTTCTCCCTTTCTCCGATTAATATGTAAATAATTGCAATTTATTCAAAAAAAAAAAACTCTTAACACAATATATAATCAATAATAGCACAAAATGACATCATGTCCATCTGCCTCTGTAACTCCTTAATGGCAAAAGACAAAGGGAATCCCTCTAAACTTGTGGGAAGCAAAGCAAGCAGTCTTTTATTTTCCGTCAAAAACGTTAACGGTTTTTTGATTGAATGCTAAATACCTGCTTCTATACACAGATGAGTTAGTTTTTTTTAGACAAATTAAAATTATTTATATGTATTAATTAAAAAAAATCTATAAAATTTGAACATGCCAGCAACAGAGGTGAACGCCCTAAACCAGTCCTGTACCACTGCGTCCGCTAGGGCTGTTCAAGTTAGATAATTAATGTTAACATATTATTTATTATTATTATTTTGGTTCGAAATACCAGTGAGGTGCAATACCCGTGATATTCTAAACTTTCTCAAAGTGCCAGAGACATTTTTCTCATTGGGTCTGTAGGCTACAATATTCCTGTTTAATCATTATTACTGGTTACTATTTTGTATTTTTCTGAAATTATTATTAGGGAATTGAATTCACTCTTCACCCTCCATTTTCCCCTTCCCTCCTCAGATCTGAACTTCCCAGGAAGGATTAGGGGAACTGAGAATTCAATTCATCGTGCTCATCGGAAACCGCCGCTGCCGCAGATCCACTGATTTCAATCAATGGATGATTTTCCGGGGCTGTTAGCCAAGGACTTTGGGATCAAACCCCAAGGTAAATCCGCCCCGATGGCACCTCCGCGCGGCAATCCTTCATCCGCTTCGAATTTCGGCATCCGATCCGATTTCGGTCGACCCTCTTCCACCAACGCCAAATCTGCCGGTCCCATTTTTGACGACCACGATCGCGATGGTCTCCTGTTTAACGATGTCTTCGGTGGACCTCCCAAGTACTCGTCTGAATCCCGTTCGGCGGCTACCTCGTCGTTTGATTATGATTCTATTTTCAAGGACCAGAATGCAAGGTCCTCTTCCATGCCAGTCTTTGACAAGCCAGTGTACGATGATGATATCTTCGATGGGTTGCCGGGGCTGAAGACCTCTTCGGCACCATCGGCTCCCAAGTACGACGATGTTTTTGCGTCGATCTCTGGGTCGCCGCCCGTGGCAAAGAATAAGACGCAAAACAGCTCGCCTTTTGATGATCTGCTTGGGAATTTAGGAAGGAAAGAAGATGAGCCAAAGACCGATCGAGTGAGAGCAGACAAGGATGCACCAGTTTTTGATGACTTAATCCCTGGTTTTGGTGGCAGTATCTCTTCTGTCGGTGCTAGGTATGTTCAAGTTTTTGACTCTGAAATTCGTTAAAAGCAGTTGTTCTTGGTTTGTTAACACAATTATAGATGTGCTGACACTTAAATTTGGCCATTTTGTGCTCCTTAATTGGCACTTCATGTGGGTGATTAATTAAATTTTTATGTACGGGTGAGTTTCATGTTTTGTTCAGGCATTTTGCATTAATAGTCGAATTTAGATACAATTTTGTGTGACATTAGTCTCAGCATATTTATATTCTGAAATGGGAAATATTTTCTGCCAAACCAGTATACGATTAGATATTGATCTATAGTTGTTTAAAATTTTCCAATTCAAAAATGGCTGTGCAATAATTTAGGAACTCAGGTTAATGCACTTAGGTGTAATTTAGTTTTAAACTGCTGCTGCTTATGTGTTATGGGCTTGAGTAACATGTTTTTGGCTTAAGAAGGCTAGGGCTGGAACTGGGTACACAAAAATGTGAAAAACCCCTCACCCGCCAAATTGCTCCCAAGACATACACTGCATTGAGAGATTACTTTAATGTTCTGACATAGTTAAGTTCTACTTCTACTTTAGTTTCCAGTTATTTAGATGACACATATTGAACTAGGATACACGAACTTATTCTATATTGATGTGCTTTTCCTGCACCTTCACTCTAGAGGATGCTTTATTTGTACCATGGAACAGATTTTAAGTATAATTAACATATAACATTCATCAAGTCATGGATTCAATTTCATTAAGTTTGAATTTTCTAATTCTTCTTATGAGGATTGGATAAATTTTTAGGCTATGGGCAACAATAGCTGGAAACATTGGCGTGGTTTTCCATGAACAGCTCCACATGATAGTGTTATTGTATACCATTAGTTTTACTTCTAAAGATTTTAGTCATTGCAAGATGCATGGACATTTAAGAGGGAAAAGAACTCTTGATTTACTTATCTGATTGTGTTTGGTAGCAAGATTTTTCTAATCATTTCTGCTGCATCAAGTCCCAAGAAGGCAGAAAAGTGGAGTTGATACAGTTAGGGTACACTTTGATTCTGAACAATTCAGGATGTTTAATTTCTTGCTAAAAATGAATGATTGTTCAATGCTTCCATAAGAACTGCATTGTGTGAGTATCACGCTATCAGCTGATGGTGAATTCACTTCTTTTTGCACAGGTCAACTTCAGAGTATGGCCAGTCCCAGAAACCTTTAAATTCAACCAAGACAGCCTCAAATTTGATGGAAGACCCTTTTGTTGTCTTAGAATCTACATCAACGACCCCTTCAGATTTTTCTTCAGGGTTGTTCACAGATCCACCAGAAGAAATAAGTAAACTAAATGGACTGGGGAACACAAGAGTGGAAAGCTCTTCAGTAACTGGGGGAGTGTTTGATGATATGGATCCCCTTGATGACCTTGGGAAATCTGTCCCTCCAGTGTCATCTGAGGTAAATAAGAGAGTGAAGGATAGGAGCATGAATGGTCAGACCCCTACTAGTAAAGAGCCAAGTCATAAAGAAGATTATGAGGACTATACAAAGAGTAAGACATCCTTTGTTGACAATTTCTCAGAATCTCATCAAGCTATGTTTGGCATGCCTAATGTGTCAACAGATATTCGTAGATCTGTCGATCAAACTGCTCCATACATGAATTCCAGTTCTAATGAGACAACTCCCCATATCCATTCAACTCCAAGATCTGAGGGAAACTTTGAGCCATTGGATGATATATGGCTTACTGTGTCAGAGATTCCTCTCTTTACACAACCCACAAGTGCTCCTCCCCCGTCAAGACCCCCACCTCCAAGACCACCACGTGTTTCGAAGTTTGATACAGGTACCTTTTCTTCCACAAATCCAAGAAAGGTCAGCGATTTTTCTTCGTTCCCAAATTCTACTCGGTACTCTCATAGCTCTCAGTCAGACCACACTGCTTCAAAAAGCTCAGTAACATCTCAGATAGATGAACTTGAGGATTTTGCCATGGGTGGGACCCGGAATAATGTTAGTGAACAATCAGAAGATTTTCCTGGTGAAGATTTCGATACAAAATCTGTTGCTGCTGCTTCTGCTGCTGCAATGAAGGAGGCAATGGATAAAGCAGAGGCTAAATTCAGACATGCTAAGGAAATGAGGGAGAGGGAGAACTTAAAAGCCACAAGAAGTAGAGAAGCTGGTCAAATGGATAAAGATGAGAAATTTATGCAAGATGCTCAAGATAGAGAACTTGGGGAAAAACAAGAGAGACTGGAGCGAGAGAGGCAGCAAAGGGAGAGAGAGGAAGAAGAGAGGGAACAGAGGAGATGTGAAATTGAGAGGGAAAGGGAGGAGAAAGAGAGAGAACAAAGAAGGCTTGAGAAAGAGAGGGAGCGAGCAAGGGAGATGATGAGAGAAAGGGAAAAGGCTAGACAAGCTGTAGAAAGGGCTACCAGAGAAG